CCAGAAGTACAAGCTGGATTTCGAAGGGACAGAGGAACTAGGGATCAAATTGCTAACATGCGCTGGATTATGGAGAAAGCCAGAGAGTATCAGAAAAACGTCTACTTCTCCTTCATTGACTATGCAAAAGTCTTTGACTGTGTGGACCACAGCAAACAATGGCAAGTTCTTAAAGAAATGGGAGTGCCTGACCACCTTATCTGCCTCCAGAGAAATCTACATGTGAGACAGGAAGCAACAGTTAGAACTGGATATGGAATAACTGATTGGTTCAAAATTGGGAAAGGAGTACAGCAAGGCTGTATATTGTCTCCCTGCTTATTTAACTTATATGCAGAATACATCATGCGAAAGGCAGGTCTGCATTAATCCCAAACCGGAATTAAGATTGCTGGAAGAAATATCAACAACCTCCGATATGCAGATGATACCACTCTGATGGCAGAAAGTGAGGAGGAATTAAAGAACCTCTTAATGAGGGTGAAAGAGGAGAGCACAAAAATGGTCTGAAGCTCAACAGAAAAAAAAAACTAAGATCATGGTCCTATCACCTCCTGGCAAATAGAAGGGGAAGACATGGGCTCCATGATCACTGCAGATGGTGACAGCCGCCACGAAATTAAAAGACGTTTATTTCTTGGGAGAAAAGCGATGACAAACCCAGACAGCATCTTAAAAAGCAGAGACATCACCTTGCTGACAAAGGTGCGTATAGTCAAAGCTATGGTTTTCCAGTAGTGATGTATGGAAGTGAGAGCTGGACCATAAAGAAGGCTGACCACTGAAGAATTGATGCTTTTGAATTGTGGCGCCGGAGGAGGCTCTTGAGAGTCCCCTGGATTACAAGGAGATCAAACCTATCCATTCTGAAGGAAATCAACCCCGAGTGCTCACTGGAAGATTCTGAAGCTGAGGCTCCAATACTTTGGCCATCTCGTGAGAAGAGAAGACTCCCTGGAAAAGACCCTGATGCTGGGAAAGTGTGCAGTCAAGAGGAGAAGGGGACAAGATGACGAGCCTCTCTGTCAGGTCGAAGAGTGTCACTCTAATCCATTGAGAGCTCCAGAGTGATAGGAAGGGATTGCGGAGCCTGAGGTAGCATCGAACAAATAAGTGGTCGGTCTGGCCCCAGGGGGGCAGAGCCTCGTTATCTGCACCTGTGGGTGGATATTCATATACAAATACCCCTATCTCTATCTGTGACATTACTTGTCTCACTGGTACCTCTGAACATTGTAACAACAAAGGATGCCGAAGAGTCTGTAACGGAGCAGGTGTTTAAAATAGTGGAACTGAAAAATTCGCTGTTTTCCACTTTTTTATTTCTCCTTTTAGGATCTGCATTCTCACAACCTGTGGATATCTTCTCTAGTCACAGACATAGTCTGACACAAGGGACAGTATTTCTATACAGGTGTCATAAATGTCATAGCGGAGAACACACACACTTACAGGATATTCCCAGCCCCACTCTCTCTGCTGTTGTGTTCTCCATGTTTTCACTGTGAGGTCTAAAGTGAAGGGCCTACTTGTGTGCAGACACACATATTTTCCAGGGCTCTTGCCCATGTGTGAGCCTGCACCGAAGCAGAAACCTCTCCAGATATAGCACTAAAACCATGAAGACAAAGATGGACAGAGCCTGGTGCATACCATCTAACTCACAAACCATAGAAAAGCACATATTCAGCTCACTCACATCCATTCTGTTTTATGGTTGTAATATTCTCCTCCAACTTTTGCGCATAGAGCATTACCCACTCTCACTTTATGCCATGGGTCTACTGCTTTCAGTGTCAATCTAAGCACTCAAATGTAATGCCTACCACCATTCTAACTGGTTTATCAGCTTCCCTGGTTAAGCAGCATAATGCTAAGAAGAGGAACCCTAAAATATGAATTGAACTAAGAGTTTGCTAAATTAACCATGTAAGCAGATTCAGTACCTGACTAGATAGCTTAGAGAGTTAGGTATCTGGCAGTGGAGTCAGGTTGGAAGTTTAATTCCTCACTGTCAGAAGAACCTGCCTGTGTGGCCCTGAGCAAGCTGCACAGTCCCCAGGATGCTCTGAGAAGAAGAAAATGGTAAACCACTTCTCAATACTCTATCTAGAAAAACCTGAAAATGGTCACCATAAGTCAGAATGGCTTGATGGTACACAAGTATTATATAATTATAAATAAGAACAATCAGCACACCAGGACATTCCAAAAGGTACTTTAGTGATCTGAACTATTTTGAGGTCTTTTGAAATCTTTAAATGGACACTGATTATGCCACTTATATATCTAATTATTCTTATTTCGGAATATTCCAAATATAGATGAAGGCCATTGGATCTGGATAACAAAACGCAAGCAACATGCAGGTTTAGCTGTGACCTTGCTTTTGAATGCTACATCCAGCCCCAAATCACTTCTTGTGCTAAAGACATGTTATCATCCTCCAGTCTAAGTATTTTAAATTCAGATTTCAGTTGGCATGTGAAGAATATACCGAGTATCTAGTGCCAGCTAATGGCTACTTTAATTCTGATCCAGAACTTTAGCTGTGTCTTATCATTTGACTAACAGTGCAAGATTATGCTTTTTTACTTAGAAGTAAGTCCTGTTGTGTTTAAATGGGAGTAATTTCCTAGCATGCATGTCTAGGACAGCAGCCCTCAATTTGCTCCTTCTTATGCATCTTCTTCTTATGGCCAAAGGCTTTTTAAAAAATTAAAATACACAACACAAAACAGTTCTTTGGGCCCAGTCTGAGATACTAAAGATCACAGCCTCCAAAAATGAACATAAAGAAGAGCTGTGTAATTTAGTCCTAGCAGTTAAGGCTGAGCAGTATCTTTATTGGATCACTGAAGAGTTACAAAAATGAAGGGTTCAAACTCTGCAGAACTTTTCACCAAACAAGAATGGGATGAAAGCAGGGATGGAGGTAAATTGTTCAAAAATTGGGCCAGTTATAAAACCCTTGAGTCATGCAGCCACACAGAGTTTAGATTCCACAGGAGACAGAGGTAAGAAAAGCTTTTTGTCTGCAGGAGGAGAAGGAACTGCCAGCTGATACTTCTGCTACCTCTGCCTCTTGCAAATTAGAACATTTTGTTTCATCAGCACTCTGTTTGCATGACTCAAGAGCATAACATCTGACCCACTGTTTAAATGATCTGCATTAACCCCATGTTTTGTACCACCTTTGCCTGAGGAAGAGTTCTGCAGAATTTGAAAACTCTTCATACTTTTAACTTTTCAGTGAAGCAGTAAAGATACTGTTCAATATCAGACTTCATTTCTGATATCAAAGTTGGCTAAGACACTATAGAGGCCATTATGCAGGATGACTGAAAGGCAACGCTCATGATATGTGAAATAACAAATAAGGTTACTTCGAAAACCTCAGTTCAAAAAACACCTTAAACATGTGCTTATTGACACATACAGTATACCTGAACAGTGGGGCTGAGCACAATGGAAATGTTCTGGATATTCATTTTTGTCTCCAGTTCCTTTGCAATTACATGGTCCATGTGCACAATCAGCCAGGAGATCAGAAGGAAGTTACATTCTGGCAGTTCCTTCAGGAGACGCTGACACTCCTGCAATTTCTCCGCCTCCACAGTCTTCCCACATGCATCTTCAAAGCGAGGCATCAGCTCTTTGGTAAGCAAGTTTTCAGGCAGTTCACGCAGATACTGTTTCAACAAGCTGGCAACAGTGTTTGGCTCATACTCCTCAAGGTTTGGGGATTCTTCTCGGTCATATGCTGCTTTTAATTCATCCACCTTGGATTTAATGCCTTCAAAAACATTCAGGAAAAAAATTGTTAAAAAACAAACTCTGAATTTATGGGGGGGAGTCAACGAAATTTACAATACTTCTGTAATATTTTATTGGTTTATTTTTATTGTTGTAATACAGCACCTGCAGGAAAGTCCAAAAATACAGTCAATTGGACTGGTCCATAACAAATAATGGCTAGAAAATTCTGTTCCCATAAGGAACAGTCTTTTGTAAAGCTAATGGCTCTTAACTACCTGTTCTACACCAAGCCACTCTCAAACACTTTAATTACAATAGGGATAGCTTACAAAAATCACTTTCTGCTCCTGTTAAGATTGCTACTTTGCATACAGAGAATAGGGAAAGTGGGGGTGGGGGGAGAGAAGATTTCATAATCCTGCTCATCTGAAAGTTCCAGGACTTCACCGCTATGAGCCCTGGTTCCTCCATAATACTGATTTTACCCTACATTATTAATAAAAGCTATTTTCTATTTGATTGCCAGAATCCAATATACTGGATTCCACTTTTTCCATCAGAATCAGTGCTCAGGAAGAAAGCCCTGATTCTGCCAACAGTGGATGCCAAGTACACCAGTGACTTTCATGGAAGCTTACATATAACAACCAGCTACACAAGGAATGTCTTATTCTCCACAGGTTTGGGGAGGCGCTCCATTCTTTACTAGTCCACCTGGTATAAGGCAAATGTTATGGCAATCTGTCATCTGTGGCCAGCATGGAAATATAGGCTTGTAGTCTTTCAAACAGGTGAAGAAAAATATCTGCAGGCCAGTAAAGGCGGGGACAGGGCAGTATCTTCATGATTTTTACTACCAGAATGATATTCTTATCCAAGCTATTGTGACTATTGCCGGAAAATATTTCAAGACTTCCCTGAATTATCTTTCCAGCCTACATATCATACCGAATTCCATTACATGAACTTGCTCAAACAGTAACACAAACTGACATAAAGAAAACAGAAAAGGAATCTCAAATATCAAAAAGGCCACAAATGGAAACTGAATTACTATTTTTCTGCAAATGATTGTGATAACAACAGCGCCAGAAAAAGTATGATAGCTGTTTTCATAGTTACTTCTCATAGTTATGCAATTTCACATTTAAGGTAACTTCAAAAGATTTACTTCCAGTGCTGGTTTGTCTTTAAACACTGCCTCTGAATTTACATTTCACTTCTCATCACAGCAGTTTGTTTACTGCATTTAGATAGTTTGCATAATGTGTCCCACAGGTGGCATTCGTAATTCAGAACACGCAACAAAATAAGTGACTCAAATCATTGTTATTTTCAAATGGATTGATGTTACACAACTACTGTGACTGCTAATTACATTTGCATTACTATTAGACTTGTCCCCCCCCCAAAGAAAAACCAAGGTAAAATCCTCAAATGCTGCTCAATTCATCTCCTGTGTTTCAAGATACCTATTAAGGAGGAGTTTGCATATAATTTCCCTTTGGAATGGAAGTGTGAGAAGAAAAGGAAGTTCTTTCCCTACCCTGCCACTTGACAAATCAGTACAGTATTTTACTTAGTAACACATTGCAGAACGGATTATCTGGTTTTCAATGCATCTCCATAGGAAAACACGTTTCACTTAACGATGTTTTCCCATAGCGATGTTTTTTTTGGAACCAATTAACCTCGCTATGCGAGGCACCACTGTATAAAGCAAATAACAGCATGAATAAGAACTTCATGTGCAACATTTCTAGTTACACAGATATAATTACAGTCTTCAAACTACATATACCAACAGTTATATTGAGGTCTACAGCAAGTGTTTAAGGAATGTATCTGGAAAGTTGTATCTGTCAAGACTGATCTACCATATCTTGTTTTTAACTCCTGTGCTTGGTAACCACTTGGCTAGCTGCTGAAGAAAATATCTAGAAATCAACAGGGTTACTTGAGGGAAGCAAAACCTGAGAAAATACTTTCTGCCCTCAGCTGGAAGAAACTGAGGACAGTACCCAATGGATGTCGAACGGATTGCAAGATTTTGCCCATGGATTTTCCCACAACGTCCTGATTGTCACTGTAAGAACTGAAGATCATTCTACTGAAACAGAGGTCACACAAGAAGTACTAGATGCCTCCTTGAGCAAGGACTGAAAGAGGCCAACTGATGGCACAAGGAGCTTTGTACAAGTGAGAGGGGCAATGAGGATTTGGCCGGGATTTGCCGAATTAACATTAAATAGTTCGACTAACTAGGGTGAATTAGTGGGGCTTTTGCCAGCTGTCCTCACATGTCAGCACTCCTTCCAGTCTCAAATTTAAAGCTAGCTAACAGTAAAACTAAACATGTTTGTCTTTAGGAAACTGCAAACATTTATAAAATCAGGTGAAGTGTTCAGAAAGCAGAGACTTCAATCACGTCATTTTGTTTAAAGGACCGGAGACAAAGCACAAGAAATTTTTCTTCAAGTACCTGAAACTCTGTAGATGCCTTCACATTTCATGCCATATTTTTCTACGTAATCTATACATTCCCGGAAAACTGCTGGCAGGCGGATGCCATCATACAACATGGTCCTTTCTGCTGCATCTGCCAGTGGGATTCCAAATACAGGTCGATGGTGGGGAACGTCCACCTGGGGAACTTCGGTTTCTTGAGCTGGCTTCTTCTTTTTCTTTTTCTCCTTCCACTGTTTGACAACATCTGCTGCTGTCAAGTCTTTCGATTTTTTCTCTTTATGCTTGTCCTCCTTATGTTTGTCCTCTTTATGCTTTTCATCTTTGGGTTTTTCCTTAATCTTAAAATCCTTTTCCTTCTTTTTGGAGAAACTTGGCTTCTTGAAAACATGAATCCCCTTTGAACGCTTTAATTTGGAGGGACTTTCAGCTTCATCCCCAGAGCTGTCTTCTTGGAAAGCTGCATAACCTTCCGCTGTTCAGAGATTTAAAAAAGGCAAACATTACACATTCTGCTCAGAAATAATGTAGTATTTATTAACATGTGTTTTTAATGTTCTGCAGAAGTAAGCAGCACAAATAATTGAAGTTGATTCTGGTGTATTTCTTCTTCGCAGAAGACTCTGCATGAATGAAAATTATGATGGTATTTATACATATTTTTCAGGAGTCGTTTAAAACCAGGATTACATTGTTATCTGCTGACCTCTACTACATTTTCCCGAAAATACGACAGGGTCTTATATTAATTTTTGCTCCAAAAAAAGGCATTAGGGCTTATTTTCAGGGGATGTTTTACTTTTTATTACATTCGACAATCTACATGTATTCAAACACAGTTGTGTCATCTTCTTCTGGTTGCTGCACAATTGTGGAGGGTGGGGTTTCACTTAACTGGGACTTATTTTGGGGGTAGGGCTTATATTACAAGGATCCTGAAAAATCATCCTAGGGCTTATTTTCAGGTTAGGTCTTATTTTGGGGAAAACTGGGTATATGCAGATCCTTACTGCAATATGTAATTGTAGAAGGGGCAGCTGTGTTAGTCTGTGGAAGCAGACTAACCTAGAATTACTGCATTATATAACTTAAATAATTTACAATTTGCTATGCATCCTTAACATTATTTCTCCAAAGGAAGTCTCAATGGGTTCAACTACTTTATTCCATGACATATATGTACAGAATTGCAGCTTTTAATGTTTCCCATTGCTGCCTCAACATAAAGGAAAATGATGCATTGAAACCAACACAGAATTGGTGATACATAAAAATAGCACAAATGAGCTTATCTTGAGAAAAGCAGTATCACAGCATGTAATTATTATAAATTATATTATTTCTCAGCTCCAGCTGATCCCAGGGAAAGGCTGTCGAAAAAGGTCTCAATGCCTGGGATTAGCATTTCAAATGACTGTGACCTAGAATCAGTATATTTGAAAGCAGACTTTTAAAAATCAACCTGTGAAAAGCACAAAGGCACAGTCCCATTCCTGACCTCATTAATGCCAAGAAAAGCTTTGCTGTTTTCCAAACAAAATTACTTAATTGACCACTCTTTTAAAAAGAGCAACAACTAGATATCCCAGAATTTGAATGTATTGGGGCACTTAGGTACACCTCTGAAATACACAAGCGTACTTTTGAACTCCTTAGACAAAGATGTGCTAACCATTCTGATACATCATCAGGTACTTGTGCTTATTTGGAATTCTGCAAACTGAATATGCGGTTGTAATTCCACAGTCACAAGGAAACACTCCTTTCAGTGCAAGTTATCAGGTACTTTTAGCCTCTGAAATATCTGCACAGGAGTGTAACAACCTCTTCCACAACTAGCCCTGCCTACCCTACAGGCAAGAACAGGAACATGTTTAAAAAAACAACCACACCTAACATTAATTGCAGCATCTGTGTCAAGATATAAGGAAAGGCTCAGAGATGAATTTACATACAATATTTAGTGCTTACTCACCTAAGATTGCTGGAGAGTACATTTGACTGACAAATGATGAGAAATTCTGTAACATTTATTTTACTTGTACTTTAAAGAAAAGATGTTCATACTAAAAACATCAATAGTGTTGCTGCCATGTAAACTGACAGGCAATCGAGAACCAATAAATATAAAGAACATGTCACACACCCACACAGAGTCATAGAGCCATGGGGTTATGAAAAACAAACATATAGTTTTAAAAAAACGACACTAATAAAACAGATTTTTAAAAGCTACTTACTCCTTTTCTCTTTTTTCTTAAATTTTCGGTTTTTCTTCCCATGTTCTTTCTCATCATCAGACACTATATCTGGAGGTTCAAGAAGGCTGTCATGAGGTGGTGAAGGTTCGCCTGTCCTGTACAAGCCTGGAAACTTTGTTGGGCTGATCTCTTCAGAGCTTGGGGTCCGGGCAAGACTTCCACCATGCTCCACCCTGCGGTGTTCACTGGGGCTACTGGTAGGAGGCAGGAAGCACTCAGTCATGCTTACTCTCTGGCAGTACAGCAGAACAAGATCCTGTTACCTATCTATCATGCCTGCAACAAGAAGAGTACAGAGTGTGACTGCAAAGTGTTCTGCAACATGAGCAAATACTTTCAGTAACAAGCTATGTGTACTGAATTTTGTTTTGCAAACAAAGGAATAGCCTGGAGTTTTTTTCTTCCTACCATTTCGCCAGTATCTGTGACTGGCATCTTCAGAGGACAGGAGCTGGAATTCCAGAACACAGATAGAATTCTAGCGCCTGTCTTCTGAAGATGCCCGCCATAGACTGATGAAACATTAGGAAGAAAAACCTCCAGAACACAGCCAAATAGCCCGAAAAACCCACAACAACTATTGGATCCCAGCGGTGAGAGCCTTTGAGAACACAAAAGAATAGCCACTACTGATAACATCTCCATTTGACTACATGTAATGTAACTGCCTGGACTGCAATGAGAACAAACCTATCAGTTCTAAAGGAAATCAACCCTGAATGCTCACTTGAAGGACAGATTCTGAAGCTGAGGCTCCAGTACTTTGGCCATCTCATGAGAAGAAAAGAGTCCTTGGAAAAAACCTTGATGTTAGGAAGGTGTGATGGCAAGAGGAGAAGGGGACGACCGAGGATGAGATGGCTGGACAGTGTCTGCGAAGCAACCAACATGAACCTGACACAACTCCGGGAGGCAGTAGAAGACAGGAGGGCCTGGCGTGCTCTGGTCCATGGGGTCACGAAGAGTCGGACACGACTAAACGACTAAACACACACACACAAAATAGATTAATGCAGCTTTCTATAACTTCCTAAAAGAAAAAAAAATCAAACACTGTTACACAACACACCTTGTTGTCCATTTTCTTGAAGAGACAGAAAAGATACAATATCCGGTTCTTTGCACCATTTTGTTCCCCTGTCCCATGTCTGCAAACAAGAATCATCTTCTGTTAAAAGTCATAAAGATGACAATAGTGATGATAATGATAATACAAGGAGACAGAAGGGGTACACTTTGTTGTGAGATATGAGCACAATAGATATTCTGCTGGATAACATATTCGATCATGTATCTGTCAATAATCTGAAACACTGGAGTTCACAGGCTTCATCCAATACCCAGGTTGGGCATTAACCATTTTTTTGTTAGACTGCAACGCTGGGTATGAGTTGCATTTTTTACTACCATTTACAGTATTTAGTATATCAATTAGGAGATGGGTGGCCACTCCAGGCAGGGAGAGAGAGGATGAAACTCCCTGCACGGCTGCCAAGTAGACAGCCAAACGGGAAGGGAGTGGCAGTCTGGGTGCAATTGGAAGGATGAGTGGGGCTGCAGCTGCAGCAAGAAACATGAGTGGACGGTCTGGCCCTGGGGGCCGGACCCATGTTAAGTCCAGCTGCACAAGTACATTCATATGTGAATACCAATACCCCCATCTCTAATATCAATAGCTAGATATGTGTGGGAAAGCATTTTACAGCCATCTGTTCATAAAATTAACTTAATTAAATATCTGCCAGACAGTTTAATCCACAGAAAATGCCCAGATTATTCAGTTATTGACTATTTCACTATAGCTAACCAAATGCTTTTACAAAAGGATACAGACTGACACCCCTGGTAAAACTGACAGTGAATTGTGTTGCAGGTATTTGCATCAAGCAAATTCCAAACCATATAAAGGTGACTATTCGTTATGTCAGTGTTTGGTTGGGGGTGGATGAGTTAAAAGCACTTCTGAGTATTAGCTTTGGCAATTAGCAACCTTATGCCCCTAAAAACAGTGTGCATATTTTTTTCTTGTAATATTATCTACTTATTCAGGTTTTACTATCAGACAGAAAGGTCTAGATACAGATTTCTCATTCCATAAAGATACTTTAGGTTCACCAGGAAAACGAACTGGTGAAGTTTATCCATTTTCAGTAGGTACTTTAGGGAGGAATGAAAGCAAAAATAAAAAGATAGAATGCCAGGCACTAACTGGGAAGTTAGAGCAGCAGATATTACTCAAAATATATTTCTGCACAGTCAGTAGGGTCCTGCTTTGGAATGCCCTTCACAAAGAAGACTGCCTAGCGCTTCTCAATTTTAGTCTTTTATCATTTTTATTGCTAATTTAAAAATACTTATTACATAGTTTTGTTATTGCAAACAAACTGAATAGAGAAGTGTATACAACTGTTTTAAGTAAAGGTATAAAATACTACTATCACCTTATTATCAGATCTTCTACAACTGCATAGCAAATGTATCACCTTATCACACAAGACAGATGTGTTCTGCTAATACAAGTGGATCAGACTTCAAGACAGAAATATTTATCCTGCAGTATCAACTAGAAGTCAAAATCTAAGGTCTGTGTGAATGTCCTGTGCAGGCTCTTAACATATACTCTGTATGCTTTTTCAAATATTGTGGAGCAGTCTTCACTGAAAGCAAGGTACAAATGCTGGTAAATATATCAAGGTAACACTACATAATCACAACACAAATAATATCAGACTAAAATAAAGTTAGCACAGCTAACACCAACTTTGATAATCTGAGTCTGAGACTTTCAGTTCTACAAGCAATAAAATGTTATTCAACAATTTCTACAGGGGAATCTGAAAATTTAAATTCAATGAAAGTGTTCAGACAAAATCCCTAAATCTTTCAAACAGGTCTGCTAAAAATTCAGAGATCATAGGCAATTTGGGCAGCTCTTCCAATCTTCAAAGTCTTCTTTGCCACATTGTGGACCTGGCTCTACCTTCTGGATACCAGCCCCTGTCACATCCTCTGCTCCTCTCTGCCAATTCAGAGGTGACACAAATACATACCTGGGAGGAGAAGAGTGCCTAACAAGCAGGATGCTAGTTTTGATGAATGCCTTTACAGTTTGGAGTTGCAGAATCTCAAAACTGTTTTTAGGCCCAATCCATAAACCTTATTGTGGAAGCTCTTGTCCAAACATAACAACTATCACAGCAATTCCCTTATGAATCATTCACCCTATTGTTAACAAAGTCTTACAAGCCTCTGCAATGACATTTCGTAGACAAGATGAGGGTCAAACCACAAGGGATTCACAGATACAAAGGTCTAATATGCATTCCCCTCAAATTTAACAGTTTACTGGGATGACTTAAGACTGGAGAAGCCTCACCAAGGAAAATACTCTCTCAACCAGCACCACTGCTCAGATCAAATCACCAGGCCCCTTCAAACTTCTTCAAAATATACAACAACTTGGGAATCCATTCCAGCAATATCCAGATACAGTTAGGTCCTGCTAACTACTAAGTTATAATTTATTAGGAAGCTCCAACCTAGAGCTAAACCTTACTGGAGGTGTTTGAATCAGGTATACAGTGGGGTCTTGAGTTACGAACGGCCTGAGGTACGAACTTTTTGAGTTACGTACTTCTCCGTCCGCAAAAATCCATTTTGACTTGCGGATGGAGAATTGAGGTACGAACCCAAAAGTTTTTTAAAAAAGCGGGAAAGCACCTGGAGCCGGGTGGCGAGAGGCGGCGGCGCTGCTCCTGCTCCGGGATTGGGGCACCTCGGGGCTTTCCGGCCACCAGAATTCCAGCCCGTCCAGGGCCTCTGCCTGTCCTGGGTGGGCCCCGCTGAGCCGAGCTCCGGCGGCGGTGGCAAAAGGCAGCGGTGAGGACGGCGGAGGAGCCTCCGAGTGCCCCGGTGAGCCCGTGCAGGAGGGCGGGAGCAAGTTGCGGAGTGGCGCCGGGAAACTAGGCGGGGACGGGCAGGGGGTGATGGAAACAGGGGAGGAGAGCGAGGAGGGCGAGTGCGGTGCGGTTGGGTGGGCGATGGCTGCCTGAATGAAGGGAAGCCGGCTGGGGCTGTAAACGGAGGCCGGGCGGGGAGGGAGGGAGCGCCACAGGGAGCCTTGATGGCCAGGCACCGTGTGCTGCTGCTGCTCCCATCTCCACCCGGCCCATTCCCCCGGAGCTCGGAGGAAATGGCTGGGCTGCCTGTTTCACCTTCCTGGGATTACCTATGAAGAAAAAAGAAAGAAACAAAATATCCCCCTCTAGTGGCAGAAGGTGGAACAGCAGCTTCCCATTACTTTCTATGCACGGTACAGAGCAGATACGGATTACAATGGTTTTCAATGCATTCCTATGGGAATGCAGATTTTGACCTGCGAACTTTTTGACTTGCGAACCACCTTCCAATACGGATTAAGTTCGCAAGTCAAGACCCCACTGTAATAGGCTCTTATCACACTCCATGTGTAAGCTGTCTAAGCAATAATTGGAAGGTCGGTATTATCATCAACCATTTTGTGAATACTTTGTTAATAATATAATTGTTGCTGTTTCCCTGTTTCCCCAAAAATAAGACCTAACTAAAAATAAGACCCATTATGATTTTGCAGGATGCTCATAATATAAGCCCTTCCCCAAAAATAAGACCCAGTTAAGTGAAACCCTGCCCTCCACCATTTTGCAGCAACCAGAAGGGTAGTACTTCCCGCAGTACTTCCTTATTCTCTGACCTCAGTGTTTATAACTCCATCCCCAATCATTTATTCTGCATACAACTAGAAATCAGAATAACATTTTATGCATTTGATGAAATAGGTTAATGCCTACAATACCTTATTAATGTAATAAGTCTGTTTTAATGTATAACAAGACTCTTATTTTCAGTGAAACTATCTTAACATGGGTACCTTTTGGGGAAATGCATGGATATTTTCTTTATTGAAATAAACAGGCCCTAAAAGTGTATCCCCTCCCCTTGGATGCACACCTTAAAATGGTGAGAGGATTGTATGTACAGTACCAGGAAAACTAAGATCAATACCATCAGGAGGCTAAACTCCATTACAAGTCTACACATAAGGCCACTTATGATGCAAAGAAAAAAAAGAAGCGGATAACTTACAGGGGAATGTCCAATAAAAGAGTTGACTGAAAATATGGGATAATTGAAAATAGCCAATTTGGTTTAAAGGATTGATCCCAGTAACTGCTCTAACATTTCAAAAGAAGTCCAACCAAAGCGGCAGCAAAAAGGAACTGTGGAGACTTTTGGAGGGCAGAGCATGTGCTCCACGGGGGAACGTCCTACTAATCACATGTCTTTAAGCTCTAGAAACCTCCGAGATGTCCTGCACAAGTGCAGAACAACCCATTTGTGTGCATTCACAGAGGCCATGAAGAAGAATCTAAAAGTTTTTATGCAAGGCTTCAGGAGGAAACTGCTCATGCATCAAAATAGATGTACTGATAACCACAAGTGATTTGAAAGCAAGGACTGGGGGGGAGGCAGAAACAAACATAATTGAAGAATTTGGCCAAAGAGTTAAAAATAATGGAGGAAAGCAACCTACAGAATTCCGTGATGCGAGAAATCTGTTTACTGCAAATGCCTGCTTCAAGCAACCAAACTAATCAATGTACAGAGGAGCATTACTAACAACCAATAAAGGAAAAGATGGACAAGCTTTATCTATCTTCACCACAAAACCCAAAACCAACAGCAGACCAGCATACACACCTTAAACTGTTAATATCAATATTTTGAATAAAGCTGAAGTACATTGTGCAAGCTGTACTGGTCTAAAATTGTGCTTAAAATATTTTTAGCACAGCATTGTGCATATGTCCTACCTGTCTCTGTTATTCAGTTATTATCAGCCTGATCAGCTTTCTATTATTCGTCTCTGTTTCACACTCTATGCCAGAGAGGCAAAGGATTCTTAAAAGCAGGAAAGTACATAAATATGGGCTTGTTGGGAGATTATGGCCAATATTCCAGCAAATGTCTTCACCTCCAAGTAGCTATCCATAACATATATTTGCATGTGTACAGAGAGTTCCAGAAAAATATCTACTTCTGCTTCATTGACTATGCAAAAGCCTTTGACTGTGTGGACCACAGCAAACTATGGCAAGTCCTTAAAGAAATGGGAGTGCCTGACCACCTTGTCTATCTCCTGAGAAACCTATATGTAGGACAGGAAGCAACAGTTAGAACTGGATATGAAACAACTGATTGGTTCAAAATTGGGAAAGGAGTACAACAAGGCTGTATATTGTCCCCCTCCTTATTCAACATATGCAGAATACATCATGCGGAAGGCTGGACTGGAGGAATCCCAAGCTGGAATTAATATTGCCGGAACAAATATCAACAACCTCCGATATGCAGATGACACCACTCTGATGGCAGAAAGTGAGGAGGAATTAAAGAACCTTGTAATGAGGGTGAAAGAGGAGAGTGCAAAAAACGGTCTGAAACTCAACATCTCAGCATCTTAAAAAGCAGAGACATCACCTTGCCAACAAAAGTCCGAATAGTCAAAGCTATGGTTTTTCCTGTCGTGATGTATGGAAGTGAGAGCTGGACCATAAAGAAAGCAGACCGCCGAAGAATTGATGCCTTTGAATTGTGGTGCTGGAGGAGACTCTTGAGAATCCCCTGGACTGCAAGGAGAACAAACCTATCAGTTCTAAAGGAAATCAACCCTGAGTGCTCACTGGAAGGACAGATCCTGAAGCTGAGGCTCCAGTACTTTGGCCATCTAATGAGAAGAAAAGACTCCCTGGAAAAGACCCTGATGTTGGGAAAGTGTGATGGCAAGAGGAGAAGGGGACGACCGAGGATGAGATGGCTGGACAGTGTCATCAAAGCAAGCAACATGAATTTGACACAACTCCGGGAGGCAGTACAAGATAGGAGGGCCTGGCGTGCTCTGGTCCATGGGGTCACGAAGAGTCGGACACGACTAAACGACTAAACGAA